GTCGTACAGGTTCCTTAATGTCTTAGATATCTACTCATGTAATCAAATTCATTAATAGATCTCTCATTTGTTATCATATTTCCCTGGACCTCAATGACTCCGATTTCATCCAAATCTGGACTAGGCTAGGAAATCTCAAGTTACTACGAAAATGTTTTTCTAGTCCAACTCTTTCCCCATTGGCTTTTTCCTAACGACGGAATTTGATCGTTACATTCTATCACCATTAAAATTTGTCGCAAACAAATACATACGAATTTACTACTAAATAAGTTATAATAAATTACATTCTCACATCATAAATAACAAAAGTACCGAAAAAGATAATCCAAACTCTCACCTTTTATTGTTTTATTATAAATAACCATTTTAATCGACTTTGTTTGTCTATTCTTTATTGTATTTTATTTTTTTTATTTTTTTTTAATTATTTTTATTGTGGTTGTTCACAATTTACAGTATGAAACAAAATCTTATATTTTTTTTATGAATCTTGAGGATTTCAGTATATATTTTTATGTTATTCTTTTTTTTTTTAAATGTAACACACCACCTTTTTAGATGTTTAAATTAATTCATACATTAGGAGCGAGATTAAAAGAGTCCGTTTGGATTGACTAAAAAAAAGTAATTTTTAAGTCAAAAATAAATAGTCAAACTGAAATGACTTTTAAGTCAAAAAATAAAAAGTTGGGGAGGCATACTTTTGGGTTTTTGACTTATTTTAAGTTATTTTAAGTCACTTTTGATCTTGCCAAACATTTTCTAACTTATTTTAAGTCATTTTTGATTTATTTTAAAAAAAAATTATATTTGTCAAACACTTCTAGAAATAAAAAACTGACTTAAAAGTAGGTTTGACCAACTTTTAAGTCAATTCAAACACTCTCTAAGAGAGATTAATAAGTTAAGAAGGATGTGATATACCGTATTTGAACTGTTAAATGGTCATACTTTAAGTTTTGATGTCAAGCAAGTTATAAAATAATAGTCGGCAAAAGTTATCGTAAAGTACTTTTAAATATTTCTTTGAAATTTGGGGTAAATGATCTCTCCAATCTATAAAGAGTTAGAGGATCCACAACCTATCAAATTAAAGGTCTACAAGTCTAATTTTCAATGTATTAAATTGTTTGTTTATACAATTTCAGAATTGAGAGACTGATATTTTTGAGATTATACAAGTAAGCAGTGAATTGAGCCCAAGTCGATAGAAATTAATAAAAGGTCATCTTCTTCATTTTTTCCCTCAAAATAACTTTATGAGCCAGAAAATCTCGACTCCCGATGATACAAATAAAAAATAACCCCTAGTTATTGATTTTCTTGGTCTAAGTCCTCAACGAAAGTTATTCTACACATTAATTAAGCTCGTCGCCGTGATATAATATTTGTCCCATCAATTTCATAGTATTATCTCCTTTGGTGTTGGGGCAATAGGAGTTTGGCTATATTTTAAGGTTTCGAGATATATTATGAGCTTAAGATCAAGCTAAGACTTTCCTTTTATCGATTCTAGCTTCGATAAGTCACATATAGTAATTTACGATGAAAATCTATATTTTTTATCAAATTATCATGGTGTCTTATATTCTATGTGTTGATTGCGATCTTGCCATGTTATAGTATCAAGAAAGGTTCCAGAAGAAATCAATAAGCCTCTTGAAATCACTGAAAAAGGTATGTTAAGAATATTCCCTTCTTTCAACATGTTTCCTTAAAGCTTATGAGTGGCAATGTCCAATACAATTCTCCAATTAAGGAGTTGGGAACTGCCGTATGCGAAACATCTCAACTTTAGAATCGGGATCGAGTCCATATGAATTGTAGAATGAATTTACTAAAGCTCGTATTTCAAATCACAAGAGTAAACGTGTTGTATAAACATTTAATAAATAGGAGGGGGGTAATGGATTCACCACAACAAAAACATTTTTTAGCGGTAATAAATAGACACATTAATAAAAAGTGCTAAAGTCATTACTAGCATTAGTTAAGTGTCATTTGTCGCTAAAGGCTTTAGAGAGATATACAAAGAGTGCTAATTGCCGCTAAAAATACATATTTAATGGCAATTAAGCTATTGTCGTTAATTAATTGCTGCTAAAAATCATTAATTTTTAGATTAAAACTGAAGAAATCAATAGATACATTCAATCTTAAGATCATTTAGTCACTATACAATCAATATCAACCACCCTTCATACCTAGAAGAGAATTTAACTTCCCATAATTAAAGAGAGAGATATTATATCAAAGGAGAATTTCTTTATTCCATTCATCACAATCAATTATATAGTTGTAGTTTACAATATTATGCTTTCCACATATATTATTTAAGTTGGAATAAAGAATTTAACATTGGGGTGGGGATGGAGGTAAATATGACCTCAATATATAACTATAAGGTCTTGTATATGCAAAAAAAAAGTATAATAAAAAGTAAATAGAATTTATTTCTGATAGCTAGTACAAAAATAATAATGACTCTTTTTCCGATAAATAAAAGTTTAAGTTATTACAAGTGAAGTTAATTGGAACACAATAAGAGAAAATACACCCCAATAACCAATTTTCACTCTACTATTTAAGTTATATTCAATTTTTTCAAATTATTTCCTTTATCGCCGATAGTTCAAAATATTTGAAATTTGCTTGCATAAATAATATGTCAAATTTTTCAAAGTTTGGCCTTGACAAGCATGACATCAGTATATATCTAAAGAGGTTAAACTTATAAACTATACTTGAAAAGTAATTAAGAAAACATAAGTACATATTGATGATAGCCTGAATAATTAATAATCTTTTATTTACAGTCTACAGAACAAGTAAAAAGGAAATATAGAAGTCTATATTATTATAAAGAAAAATTAGTATCATGACTATAAATGAAGAGAAGTATCAACATCAGAGTTTCCAAATTTATGTTTTGGACTAAAACTTGACCAAAACTTTTGTGTTTTCATAACTCTTAAACCTGTATGATTGTTGTTATTATTCAAGCTAAGTCCAAGTGAAATATTTTGATCTTTTTCATGTGTTATAATTACCCGTTGATCACGTTGTAATCCTTGATTAGAAGTTACATAATTCTTGTTTGAAATCTTGATCACTTGAGCCTCTGGGAACAATTTTAGTGTCTTGTCCTCTCTTTGTTCTCTTGCTCTTTCTAATTGTCTGAATCTTTCTTGTAAAAGTGCAATGGATGGACCTGCTCCAACATTAGTATCATTATTATTATTATTCGGCCTTCCCATCGATCGATTTTAGGAGGGAGGAAAAAAAGTGTTTGATATATTTTTGCTTGTTTTGAACAACTTTTTGCATATGTGTGTATATATAGAGGAGAAGTTATAATTTGATTATGTTATTTTGATGTGTGTTGAAGGCATGATGGAGGATTTTATTTTGGAAGAGGAAAATGGTGAGGAGAAATGTACAAAAGATTGATGTATGTTAGTGTTTGGAAGAGAGTATTTGAAGGATAAAAGGGTTAGGTATTGTTACGTGCGTTTTGTTTTTTTTAATATGTTTTTTGTTTGAGGGGTTGTTAGTTTTATTATTTCTTATCTTATGACTTCACATCCATGATTTATCTTTTGTTGTGATGTAATGGAGAAAGCCATGTACTAAAGACAAACTTTGTACTGGTTATATTTTATGGAGTTTTGTTTGCGTGAATGAAGTTATTTTCTTTTTTTTCTGATGATTGTAGGGAGAATTCAATCAAAGATATCGCGGGTATTCATGGAATTAGTCGAGGTGCAGTAAGTTACCTCACTGGTCACATAAATTAATCATCGAATTGAACCAACAAATGGGAGAATTTCAAGATCGTGCCTTAATGGATCATCAACTTCGCTTCAAGAAAAGCCAAATGTGTAGTTATTCATCTAACCAAGACACCGCGATTGTATAAAAACAAAAAATAAAAGCCTTCTAGTTGAACCATATTGCTTCTTTTTTTTCTGATTTAAGTATTGGGTGGCAGAGTTACACGATACAAGTAGAGTAGCCAAGAATTTCGTAAGATTCTTCAAGAGTTAATAAGCATGAAAAGTAAATTTAACAGTTAACTCATATTCACTATACAATTTTTTGACGAAAGGATATTAATTAACCGCCCTTCACAAGCGTAGCTCAAACCCCATCCAATACTTGTACCAATGGGAAGTAACAAGAAATCCGGAGAAATAAATCAAAGTACATGCAAACTAACTCAAACACCGCAGTTATAAAGCATAGAAAGTACCACAGATCAAGAGCAGAGGCCAGACTCTCAATATTGTTCAGTTGATCTTTTCCTACTCTTGTTAACTACTCTTTATATTTACTTTAAAATAAAAGGTAAAATATGGTTGTCGTTGCATACACAATAAGATACTTTTTTTGTCAATATTTTTGCCTTCATCTTCCTGGTTTTTTCTAGATAATAAAATACTCTTCTCTCTTGATGCATACAGCAGTATTAAATAAAATTAAAGGACTGATGGATGTCATTGAAAATTGACATGCCTCCAAGTACAAAAGTATAAAATTCACAAAAATCTCATTCATTAGAGACAATATATTAGTCATCTATCATGGCATTATGAGCAACAAGTACTGTACATTTGAATATAAGACAAGATTGGGCTGCATGATTTGGATCTCTTTTTGAGACCCCATTCTGTTGGTACTATTTAAGAAAGTTACAGGAACTCCACTTTTTTTTTCTTTTTGGCTTTCACTGACTCACTCGTGTAACCCTACAAGTGGGGTCTTGTGTACCCCGACCTTGTGAAGGTGGTAGAGACGTTTCTGAAAGTCCCTTGGTTCACTCTGTTAACATTATGTCAAATATTTGGCATATCTTAATGCTGAATAAATACATTGAATGTAACCCAAAGTGATCATAAGTTAATTTATGCAAGTTGATCCAAATAGCATCGTTATCGAAAATAAATAAAAATAGAACATAGCACAAAAGAGAACCAAAAAAGTTGTGTGAAGATACCTTATTATCTGCAATTATGACTGAACAATACAAATACTACAACATCCTCTCAACTCTAAATCAATTGCCATGTATTTCTGAAGTATTCAACTCAGAGACCAAGTAAGATCTATGTACATAAACTGCTCTGTTACACCTACATGCTAATTCCAAAAATCGACTGCACTCTAGTTTAATAAAATGAATCTTGTGTTAGAGAAGAAAAACAAGAGGGGAAAAATGAAACCTTTTGGCCGGTGTATGTGTTGAAAAATCAATATGGCTGCTCTAGTCAGTACCTTCAGGTCTGATTCCTACTTTGCTGGACATGTAAAATGCCATCAGCAGGTGAGAATTGACAACTATCAAAACGTATCCTGCAAAAGAACAAAGTAAACCCAGATTAATTTCCATCCGAACACCAAAAGATATCAGTGCACTGAGGAGAGTTGTCAATCTCCCTGCTTCTTAATATATAAAAGTAGTACATTTTTTAAGGATCCGACAGGAGTGTGGCATTATTTTTGGAGAGTCTGAGCAACATAGCAAATCAACAGTGCAAATTTGAAAAAATCATTCATTTTCATGTTTTACCTTCACATTTCTTTTTCCTTTCTCCAATTTCATGAACACGGCTACAAGTTTTTGGATCAGTGAAGAGCACACAGGGGCACCCTTAAGAAATGTCAAGAGGTCCCTAGATGTCTATATGTAGAAAGTTACCTAGTTTCTTTCCTTAATCTTCACATTAGGTTCCATTTTAATTGGGCAATATACAGAATTAGATAGACAGGCAAGAGAATGTATAATGGATTTTAATCATTCCCCCTAGCCAACAACTTACCTCCTTCCCCTTCACATCCCCAAATACCAAAAACATCAATTTCTTCTCATCAAAATTTCATGTATATACAGCTAAGGAAATCAAAGCAAGAGGAACTTTGAAGCACCAGGAGAGAAATGGAAAATGAAAACAAGATAACTAGAACAAAAGGCTTCAGAGAAGAAAAGAGCACGACTACAAAAATTTTCCATGTGCAAGTTGTGCTCCAGCTATTCAGATTATTAACTTCTTCTCATTCCTTCTTCTCCTTCTTTTACCTCTACGGCTTTACACTGATTATATAGGTGCTTCATTTTGAGTTTTCTATTCACTTCATGGATAATACAAGTAGGTTGATAATTATCCCTATTACTAATACTGGACACTAGTAGAGGAGTTGAAATGATAAGACGTGTGTAAATTATAAAAACAAGTCAAAGTAGATTGTCCCACACTAGCACTTCCGGCAGTAAAACTAATTTTCCAGTGGAAATCTACAAATTCTAAGAAAATCAAGTTTTATTATGTAAATGTGAAAACCCCATATATAAAAGTGGTATGGAAAAGTAAAGTACAACAACAACATACCCAGTATCATCCCACAAATGAGTTCTGGGAGGGTAGGATGTATGGAAACCTTACCCCTGCCTTTGTGTGGTAGAGAGGTTGTTTCTAGTAGACCCTCGGCACTGAAAAGCAGAGTACGTAGAGAGGAAAAAACAGAAGACTTCCTACAAGGAGTATCCAATCATCTAACAATAAACGGTGTCCGCCAAGGTACTCTAAACTTCTATGAAACAACAAAAGTGATCATCTGATATCTAAAAACAAACTTTCAATCTCGAAAATCTGATTTTTCTCTCCAAATGTCATGAGCACAAATAAGCAACTTCCCAAGGTTTTTTTCTTCTCTTCCTTCTAGTTGGCCGACTTAAAAACAAACCTTTCAATTGCTGACTTTACCTATTTAATACCAAACAGGCTCCGAATAGTGGAGTCCAAGCTCTTATTCTTCTAACTGCCTGATGTTAAAACAAGTCTTTAACAGTTGCCGACATTACCTATTCAGTACCAAACAGGTTCCATTCGACCACCAATTGTTGTTGAAACTGACAGAGAAACAGTAAGTGGATCACATCTTTCCACTACCATATAACACCAACTGAAATGAGTGATATTCCTCTTCCTCAGATTCTCGGTAATAAAGATGACCCCCAAGCATCCAACCAGATGAAGAAAAAAAGTTTTATTTGCATCCTTGGTACCATACTGAGGAGTACAGAAAGGCCCTGTCTCATCCTTCACAGTAATCTATGAGAGAGAGAGAGAGAGACCAAACTGTGAAAATCCTTTGTTCTGTTCTTCTCACTTCCAGGACCTCTAACCTCGGTGAAATTCTCTGCTTGTGCATAGTACCTCAAGTAAGTCATGGAGTAAATTTGCTAGTGGCTCAGCCTTCCTTAATTTTCTTCCATTTAAAAAAAAGTAAATAAAGATGTCCCTCTTTTTATTATGTTACCAAGGTTTTCTCAGTTTCTCTTATGGTACCAAACAGAAGGAATATGTCTGTTAGGGTCAACTTGATTTCTGACTTCAATTTTAGGCTGGTAGAATTTTTTTTGAAAATTAGGCTGGTAGAACTTTTCAAAGGGTGAATGGGTACGTGTAAATATATGAGTGGTCCAACTTTTCAAAAGTTACACTCTCGCAGCTATCAGGGGCGTGTACCCCAATGTCGTCACCCCACATACAATCTTTTCGAACTGTAGGGAGGTGAGTTTTTGTATTACAGAAGCTAGTCACCAGCCAATTTTTCACGGTCTCTAGTTTTTCTTTGTTGACAGAGTTCGAGAATGTAGATCTTTGTCAAATGATAGCTTGTTCGGAAGAATCATCTCAAAAGTTGGTTCAACTGTGGATTCACCTTTCTTGGTTGACTTAGATTTTTCTGAAGCCTTGCCAGAGAAAGGCTTGCAACCCGAAAGAGAAAGTGATTTTTCACAACAAGTAATCGAAACATCTTGATGTGGAGAAGAAGGCGCAGACATGAGGAATATGGTGGGTGATTGTTAAAAGGATCGAGAAAATTAAAATTTTGTCAATAAACATCCAATGAAGATATGAATGTCGAGGAAGGATGAGCAAAGTCAAAAAAGGAATTTGTTGTGAGGGAGAATTTGTCAACTAAAGTAATTACATTCCCACCTCACAACAAATTCCTTTTTTGACTTTGCTCATCCTTCTTCGACATTCATATCTACATTGGATGTTTATTGACAAAATTTTAATTTTCTCGATCCTTTTAACAATCACCCACCATATTCCTCATGTCTGTGCATTCTTTTCCACATCAAAATGTTTCGATTACTTGTTGCGAAAAGTCACTTTCTCTTTCGGGTTGCAAGCCTTTCTCTGGCAAGGTTTCAGAAAAATCCAAATCAACCAAGAAAGGTGAATCCACAGTTGAACCAACTTTTGAGATGATTCTTCCGAACAAGCTATCTTTTGACAAAGATCTACATTCTCGAACTCTGTCAACAAAGAAAACTAGAGACCGTGAAAAATTGTCTGGTGACTATGCTTCTGTAATACAAATAGCTCACCTCCCTACAGTTCGAAAAGATTGTATGTGGGCTGACGACATTGGGTACACGCCCCTGATAGCTGTGAGAGAGTGACTTTTGAAAAGTTGGACCACTCATATATTTACACGTACCCATTCACCCATCCTTGGTATCATACTGAGGAGTACAGAAAGGCCCTATCTCATCCTTCTCAGTAATCTATAAGAGAGAGAGAGAGAACTGTGAAAATCCTATGTTCTGTTCTACTCACTTCCAGGACCTCTAACCTAGGTGAAATTCTTTGCTTGTGCATAGTACCTCAAGTAAGTCATGGAGTAAAGTTGCTAGTGGCTCAGCTTTCCTTAATTTTCTTCCATTTATAAAAAAAAGTAAATAAAGATATCCCTCTTTTAATTATGTTACCAAGTTTTTCTCAGTTTCTCTTATGGTACCAAACAGAAGGAATATGTCTGTTAGGGTCAACTTGATTTCAGACTTCAATTTTAGGCTGGTAGAATTATTTTATTTATTTTTTTGAGAATTAGGCTGGTAGAATTTTTGAACCACATAAAACTCTCGGATCCAATTTTAGCCTTGATTCATCTCATACTGAGCCCAACTTCTGTCAGTAGAAAAGTGTCACGAAACCCACTTAGGCTTCTCAACTTGTTTACACCCCTCTATTGCAAACATTTACAACTCTAATTAGTTTCTCAGAGTCAAAAGTGAGGCTATAAAACAATTTACAAATATCCATAATGGTGCCAAAGGATCACATGTTTTTTTCTTCTTAGAGACAATAAACAAATACAACATTTATAGTTAATGACTAATGGTTGCCTAGATTGCAGGACGAGAGAAGGAATAATAGGAATGAAAACTGATTAGTGTGTGTGAGAACTACAGGAAGCACAAAGGGAAAATAAGAAATAGATGAGAAAAAAGGGCAGCCCCGTGCAAAAAAGCACCTGTTATGCATGGGGCGGCGAAGGGCCGGACCACAAGGGTTATTGTACGCAGCTTACCCTACATTTCTGCAAGAGGTTGTTTCCACGGCTTGAGCCCATTAACTCTTGGTCAAATGGCAGCAACTTTACCAGTTACACCAAGGCTCCCCTTCAAGAACGGAATTAGAGAAAAATGAAAATAGCAGTGTTGTTAAAGGCCAGTATTTTATCGCTTAAAAGCGATGGGTTATAGTTGTATGGTGAAGCCATACACTTCAGAGAACATGGGCATAGTTGGATCGGTGATCCAAGAGTAACGATGAGTTCTTGTTTTTGACAAAGGTAGCGATGAGTTCTTTGAATCTCAACTTTGAGGATTTGTACTAAAGTTAGCATCATTGTACATCGGACGCTGAAATTAATTATTTTAATTGCAACTTGAATACTATAGAGCTAAATACATATATGTTTGGTACTCCATAATTTTCCGTAAATTGTGCGGCTCACTTTGCTTCACTTCTATCCTTTCACTTCAAGCCTCGTAAACCTTGCGGCCCTTTTGCGTTTTTCCTTTTTGAAAACACTGGAAAATAGTTCCATGAACTCGTTCACAAGAGTTAATTAAGACAAAGTGGAGAAAGACGTATAACGGTTCCACAAACTCACTTCACTAAATGTTCCAGACCATTTCATATCAAGACTAGCTAATAAGCAACTTGGAAGAAACTAAAAAGAATATTAAGAAAGAGCACATCATAAAACCTACATTTCACTAAAGTAAGGAGTTCTTAAAATTTCTTTAGTTTCACCAGAAGGGAGTGTCACAATTAAATAGTTCTTTACATTTCAAATTGAATGTTATGTTTTCAGTTTCAGTTGAGTAGACCCAGTGTTCACTTTCCAACAGCAACAACATACCCAGAGTAATCCTACATGTGGGGTATGGCGAGTGTGGGCTGTGCCTAGAACTTACCCCTACCTTAGTGGGGTAGAGAGGTCATTTCCGATAGACCCTAGGCTCAAGAAAAATTGTGTTTCAGAACACTTCCCAATAGCAAAACAACAATCCATATCATGTTACAGAAGATCTAATAGGTCTCACTTTTTTAACAGTTCCAAAACCCATACATCTAAGATAGTACACTTCCACCAAGTCAGCAACTAAAAATTCTAAAATACCCCTTGGTACATGTTATAGAACTTCTACAGTTAGTTTGGGACTCTAATGGAGTCCTAGAGAAATACAATTGCATCAACTAACTTAACCGATCTTAGCTACATTTATGACAAATGGCCCAAGCATTTTAAAATTCCCCCAAACAGACATCTTCCCTTGTATGGAGACAAAATATCTAGAGGTAAAAGTCTTTGATACTAAGATCCACTTCACTCTTCCTTACACAAACTACTCCCTCTATTCCTTTTTACTTGTCCCTTGTTAATTCGGCACTCCCCTTAAGAAACTATTTATTAGAAGTTTGTTTACTAAATTATTTTAATTTAATATGCTTTGGAAATCTTAAGTTTGATTACTTGTTCTTTATTTATTTTTTATAAAGGTAACCTAGATTACTAGTACTTTATGTAACTCCTCGAAGATAACGGCAATACTGAAAGAAAGTAATGAATCTCTCTTGATTTGCTAAAATGGACAAGAAAAAAGGAAAAACTATGTTTAGTATAAGGGGCAAGAAAAAGGGAATGGAGGGTACATAAGTCAGTTAAGTGATAATGTGGCCACTTCAACCGTCTGCTTCTTTTGAATGCTACTCATCTATAGCTACATTATGAACTACCACATCCACAAGTGAGATGAAGAAATTCACTAGAATTCATTCTGAAGCTTTACCCTCCACCTCCACCCAGTCTATAAAGCAAAAGATTTTGAAAGAAAGGAAAAAAAAACAAATATTGCAGTCATTGTTTTCTCCCTCTACATCCAAAAAATATATCATAGAAAAACAATTCCTTAGCACTTCTTGTGCGTCAAAGCTAGAAGTTTTCAGAAGAGATCTTTTATTTTTGTCTCTCTAAAGACTTTCCTATATTCTACCTTGCAAGACGCTTGATCCACAAATCCAAAGTAACTTTGCTATTTATTTTCTAATAGTAACAAAGATATACTGCCAGGCGCAAGCTTGTGCACACCTCAACTAATTCTCTAAGGAACCTACTTCACCCCACAAATACAGATACGGGGAGATAATTTTAACAACCAATGCTAGCACAGATACAAGACAACTTTGACCACCAAGGCGGCAGACAGGAAGAATTCATTCGCTGCTGGGATACAAACCTTAACCTCTGTTCCCAAAGTTGCTACTCCGACTTTTTGGGTGCAATTGCACAGATAGCCAATTTTGGGATACCCATTGAAGCCACAGCCTAAGTTCATAAAGTTTTGTAAGTTTAGACACGTCAGACTGAAGTTGCAAAAAATCGTGTTTGAAATTACAAATTTGTCTGAAGTTTGGTATTGATTGTGCAAGCAAACATCCGACATATGCATCAAAAGTTTGACTTGTCAATACCAAACTTCAAACATGTATATCTGAAGTTTGAACTACCAATACCTCCAGTTTCGACATATTTGTTCAAAACAAAAAATAGTTTTTATGAAATTTGAACTACCAATTTTCATCCCTGCCTAAAGTTCCAGTTTCTGAAAAAAAAAAATCATTCCTGCCAATGTTTCCCAGCTTTTCCAACAACATCCACTTGATCGGAACAAACTGTTCATATGCAAAATTCAAGACTCACTTCTTCAAGCCTGCAACAATAGTGATTTTTAGATGGTGTTGTAATTTACTCCCTGATATTTGGATATAAGAGTTAATGGATTAGTTCTTTTATGGTTTTGATAGGCTTTGATTCAAACGTTATACTTTATTGATGTAAAATAGATTCAAAAAACACTATTATACAACAACTAAGAAGAAGAAGAAAAGACGGAAGAGCGTCCAAGTAGGCTTCCCCATGAACTAGTAGAATCTCTTCTTCTGCTTTTTGAATCATTTCAACCCAAACCATCAAAACCAACACATAGCTTTCTGTATATTAAAAGGAAAAATATGAATGATCAATCTGGCGCGCTCTATCATCTATGGTTTTACACAAAATCAAATTTCCAAAATGAACGCTTCACACTTCAATCTAGAGAAGGTTCACCATAGATTGGACTTCCTCAGACGCCCCAGATTGATAAATAGGGAATAGATTTCTCCAAAATCATCTCATATGAGCCACTCTCCAGGGATGATAATCATGTGAATGGGGTTCACAGACACAAGAAAACCCTTGTATCTTTGAAGATTCCCATACTGCAATAAAAAGATAAATGCAAGTGTTGGAGGCTACATTTTGAAGGAGCTTTGTTGAGCCATGTAGAATAAATGTAGTTATCCCACTTGACCTGTGACTTCAACAAATGCAGACATCTTATCTGGGTTTTAAATATTTGGAATTAAGCATTTGATAGCATTTAACTTCTTTAATACTGAACAAGCAAGCCTTATGCTGCTTGATACATTTTTCTCCACTAACTCTTAGGAGTTATTAGGGGTGTAAATTGCTGAGATTCAACATTCAAGCTAGCAACCAAAATAATCACCACAACTAAAACTTTCTTTCTCTTAAAATGTTGCTGCTTTCCTTCTAAATGATTAGTTTGATACAAAACAGGCTGCTATTTAAAATAAAAGGGGATGAGGTTGAGATGCAGCACTGTTCATCAATTCCAGCGAAAGATAAGTCAGCAGATATAATTAGAGTTTTATAGATCAAGGGAGAACACATTTCTTCTTCAGCTTTTACCACTACATTGAGCATGAAATATGCTAATTATCTTATTCTTATGACATGCTTCACTTAAACTTCATTAAGAAGCATGATTGTGGTGGAGTGGGGAGGAAATCCATATGAACGGTGAACCCCAAAGCAAAAAGTGCAAAAGACAACTACCTATTCAGATTATTTGTATAAAGAAGTTAATATGAAAATACTAACATGTCGGGATACATGACGAACAGACTTCTGCTATTGTTTATTATCAGGGAAACTTTGGTAATCTTTAAAGCTATCAATTCAAAATGAACCATCTTTTCTCTTGTTTTTATGCTTGATGACCAAGTCTCAGAAATTCTAAAAGCAGAAGGAACTTAATTTCTTGCTACTACGAAAACTTGAGCAAAAAATGAAAATAAGGGTTTTAAAGGCAATCTCACTCACCTTGTGCACTTGACCTGTAAAAGGTCAGTTCCTTCATCATGAAGCTCAGCAACAACTCAGCTTACCAGCATTCACGCAGCTGCTTCAGAAACAGAAGATTTTTTCAGCTTAGCTTCCTCTTCAATCGAGCTTCAGCGAGAGTAGTTGAAGAAACCATAGATGAGAGGCTATTGTAAGATTAGAAATTAACTCACTTATTTCTGCTTTCTGGAGCTGCAGATCAATTCTCAAAAAATCATTTGACTCGTATTAATTAACCATCTAATTTGGACAATTCTCTTGCCAAGATGACATATGTCTGGAAACTAATATTGCAACTCTTGGATTCCATGACACGAAGAAGCTTCATGCACAATTCAGATTCTCTCTCCTTGAGTAAACCATCAATCAGGATGGTCCAAACAATCTCATCATTGTTCCACTTTTTCCCAAGCATGTTTTCAAATAGCACTTCAACTTCTTTTAGTCGGCTACTTCTACAGAGAGCACAAATGAGTGATTGATAAATTGACAAAGGAGGTCGAAAACCTTGTTGAATCAATGAATCAAATATTTCCAAAGCAGCATCCACTTTTAAATTGTTGCAATAAGAAACTAAAAGAGAGCAATATGCTGCACTAGTAGGACTGAAGCCTTTCTCCCTCATATGTTCAATCAACTGGTCTGCCTCATAAGTTTTACCATCTCTATACAGACCAAGAATTAAAGTGCAATATGTGCCTTCATTCGGCTCACAACCAATTTCCAACATTCTATTTAGTAGAGTACATAACAGTTCAATACTAACATCCTTCTTGCTAGCTGTGCAACTATACACTGTTTCACGCTTGACGGAGACCTTCCCTGAAATCAACTCATGTTCCTTTTGCAATCCTTTCAACAACACACCAAAGGTTCTATAATTTGGTTGACAACCCTTATCAACCATCTGGTGAAGAAGTAAAAGTGCATGATCTAGTCTATCCAATGCTACAAAACCATCAATTAGTGAAGTATAAGTCACATAATCAGGAGCTAATCCTTTTTTCTCCATTTCTCTGAGTAAGCTCTCTGCTTTATCAGCCTGACCTTCAAGACATAAGCCGTAGATTAGCGAACTGTAAGTGTACAGGTTCGGCATGCAATTTCTTCTCTCCATATCATGCAAAATCTCAAATGCAAGATGAGTTTCACCATTCCTACAAAGACCATCAATCAAAGTTGAGTAGGTGATTACATTTGGGAGCAGTTCACTTTCTGCCAGCTTATTACATAGTCTTTTTACTTCCAAAAGCCTGTTTTTTTTGGACAAACCATTTATGATAGCATTGTAAGTTTCAATGCCTGGACTGCAACCACTCTCTTCCATCCTTTTAAGTAATGCAAGTGCATCATCTATTTTCTCTTCCTTCGAGAGACCATCAATTAGAGCTGTATAGTTTACCTTGTTTGGACTTAAACCATTCTTTATCATTTCCTGAAAGAGAGCCAAAGCTAAATCAAGCTTGCCCCTCTTGCAGAAACCAGAAATAAGTTCGGCATAAGTCCATTCATCAGCTTTACATCCATTATTCTTCATCAAATCCAGTAGTCTCATAGCATTGTCCAGAAAGCCCCGTTTAAGGTAGCCATTAATTAGGGTATTATAAGTAATCACTGTTGGTGCCGGACCCACCTTTAGCATTTCACTGAGTAAAACCATTGCCCTTTCAATATTCCCAACCAAGCATAATCCATGGATCAGTGCATTGCAAGTTATAGTGTTGGGTTTGTATCCATGTGCTTCAATCCAACGGAAAATATTAAAAGCTCTGTCTATATTTTTTGCTCTACACAATTCAGTTATCAATATATTGAATGTAACCATAGTTGGGAGCAAACCTTTTCTCAACATGTCGTGATACAATCCAATTGCCACTTCAAGGAGTCCAGATTGAGACAGTCCACTAATTAGAGCTGTATATGTCTGGACATTTGGTTCACATCCCCTCTTTCTCATGTTCACTACAAGATCAACAGCCTCTTTCTCACGTCCAACTGCACACAAGGAACTAACTGGAACTGTGTATGTATACACAGTGGGTTCAATACCTTTCTCAATCATCTCGTCAAGCATATCCATAGCCTCATCGACTCTCCCCTCCGAACAAAGTCCATTTATAAGAGTAGTATAAGTTGCTGCATTCGGATCTATTCCATCCTGAACCATCCGATCAAATACCACAAATGCTGCATCCAAGTCCCTGTTCCTACAATGACCCAGAATCAGAGATGTATATGTAAACACATCGGGACTCAATTCCCGCTGATAAATATGACTCATTATCATCTTGGCCTCTTCAACTCTCCCTTTCTTGCACAATATGTTTATCATAGTGTTAAAAGTTAATAAACTCGGCACCGTTCCACTGCTCATGATTTCTTGATAAGCACTCTTAGCTGCCTCAACCATCTCAAACTTACTCAATTGAATCAACAAAGTATTAAAGCTATACAAAGTATACCCAAGACCTTTTCTGCTAAGTTCACTTAAATACTCAATAACCCATTTCATTTCCTCCTGGTTTCTACAACCTTTGATCATCAATATCCTCACATGATCAGCAGGAGCAAATTTCTTGTCAAAAACAAGCCTATTCAACATGGAAACATAACAGTTCCTATCATGTTTGTAAAAATGCCTCTTAGAAACCCAGTAAAAAAACTGCAAAGCTACTTCAGTATTTTCATGGATCTCAACGAGTTTTGCCACGTGTGGGGGTCTTAATATGGAGCTCAATGACTGAAGCTCTCCATTTGTCTGCCATTGCAGCCGCGGATTAGACAAAATATCCGACACCTTAGAAACAATAAACAAAAGCCTCTTACTTTCTTCTGTTTGTATGGACTCAGATTGATCAAAAAGATCGGGTTTTGATGAAAATTGAAGACGACCCAGATAAGTAAAACCCCTGAACTTGCTCCTTCGATGCGGATTTAAGGAATAGAGAAATATGGGTTTGAGGGGCTTTACCATTTCGAGCAGTGAATGTGAGGATAACAGTGTGAAGAGTTCATGAAGATGGTGTGGGATTGATCAGAAGAAAATGGTGGAGTGTTGATGTGTTGAGTCATGGGTGAACGTGGTCATGAGGAGACCACAACAGAAATGGTGGAAGAGAGGAGAATATAGGGAAGGGGGGGCTGCGTAGGTGCAAATGCAATGGCATCAAACCTCAGTAGCCAAAGCCCAAAAGGGCCCCCAATTTTGGACTGTAAAAGATTTTAGGGTTATTCTCAGATTTCCAAAAATATTCTGGGCAAGATGATGAATGGTGTTTGATCAAAGATTTTCGTTTGGTGGTTGGTTAGAGTTATGCTCGTATTTGTCAAATTGATTATACTAATGAGTATAATATCGTATGTATGTATTAGTTATACATAGAATATTCGTTATTTCATTTTTTAATAATACTTAAATAGATTTTCGCATAACTTATATATGTATTGGTTATGTGGATTTTTAAATTGTTAAGTAAATGTTATGTTAATTTTTTATATATGGATAACTTATTTTTTATTTGGAAAAGACTCGAATATGTCATCGAACTTTGAGAAGAGGTTTATTTATGTCATCCGTTAAAAGTTTGGCTTATCTATGTTCTTTCCGTTTGAGAAAAGGTTCATTCATGTCATTATTTGTTAATTGAAATGACATAGATGAGTCAATTTTTTAATGAATGACATAGATGAGTTTTTTCTCAAAATTCAATGGCATGTGTGAGCCATTTTTTTCTTTAAAAAAATAATTTAAATTAATGGCGAGATCGAATCATAATTGATCACCTATAAAAATGGTTTTGCAAAATCATAACTATTTTTCCGTTAACAAAGAATAGCATTTATGAGCCTTTTCTCAAAGAAAAATACATAAATGAGTCAAACTTTTAACGAATGATATAGATGAACATTTTCTTAAAATTTAATGACATATTCAAGTATTTTTCCTTTTTTGTTTATCTACTATATCGGATGAGTTATACCAAAACTTATACATAAATAATTTATTTTGTATTCAGCTACCAAACGATCCTGTAACATCATCTTTAACACTATCACGGTATTCATGTCACTACTGATAGCAAAGAAGACATCAAACATTAGCTTGATAGATTTAAGAGAAAAAAATGAATTTGTTGTAAATTGAATGTACACACTAATATGCTGAAGTGTTGTAAGATTAATACACACACAAAATGCTATGTGGTGTATACTAATTAGCCATTTGATATACTTGGTGCCCAAAGTGTATACATGGCAAGAAGATATTCATGTATCACATTTTGGGCACAAGTGTATACAACTATATATACCCCCTATTCTTGTAACAAAGAAAGAGGCAAGAGTAAGTCATGAAAGAAAATACTACACATACTATTTCTCATCTTTCTTATTATCTTAGTTTTTATACTTTAGTTTATAACACGTTATCAGCACGAGTCTCTTCATCTATGAGCATCTTCGACAGTGCATTAGCTGAAACATAAATAGTATAGCTATATAAGTCTTCTTATACTTGATATTCTAAATTTGATGTGTCTAATGTAATTGTCGTTAATGTTATCATCAATTTTTAAGCTAAATATTGAAAGTATAATTAGTACATACTTAATTGATAACCTTGTTGGAAGAGTTGAACTCACCGAAATCGTTAGAAGACTAAAAGTGCATAGCATGAATTTTTAATTTGGTTGATACTTTGTTGTGGTTATCACCTAGTAATACATAATTGGCTTTAAAGGAGATATAGTTGATTTAAGGAATGCATATCAAAATAAAAAGGAAAATGTATTAAAATTTCTTATGTTGACCTACATTAACTTTGATCAACATCATTGATTATTTTACACTTGTTTTATCTTTCACTAGCTAATCATTTACTTCTTGAATTATTATAATATGCTATATGTACTAACATTTTTATAGTTGCTTTAAAAAGGTAAGCAAACTAATATTTGAAGAAGTGTTTTTTTTTTTCCTTTGGAATCATCAAAAAGACTTTTTCATCATGAAAGATTCTTTGAAGTGGCATTGGCATGTCATTTAGGTTGGCAATTAACAAACTTGTCAATGGTAGCTAATTGTATATTTTTACTTTATGGTAAGTGTCCTTCATAATACTAATTACATTAATTCTGATTTGTATATATCTGCAAAAGAGTATGCTAATTTTTTAAATTCATATAATATGCTACATGTCATTGAGACAATTTGACATGTATACTTTATTAGGTCCATTTATCAAGTGTGTATTTAATTCTTGGATTTTGAGGTATCATTTTATTTATTGTGATTATTAGTGTTTACCTCTAGTTGCTTTATCTATGAATTACAATTGAAGAAAGAAATTTTCTTAACTAGCAACAAATGAAGTCAATCTTGAGAATTAATTTGTTGATCTTTCAATAAGTGAATTATTCATAAAACTTTTAAATTGAAAATAGTATTCAGAGCCACCTATGAGGATCAATTTTGTTTCGTTTAGCAAAGGTAATAACTTGTATATGATCTTTTGAAGTGTTATTATGACTAAATTTATTTGTGCTATTAATAACAAAGTTACAATATTTTAAAGGCTCAATGATCAATTTTATTTTGGACTATATATGATGTCATTGATTGAGGTAAGACGGTGGATTCAAATTTCACCGCACCAAAAGGGTAACACATCGATTAAAGTCTCGATACACCATGATGATAAGATTTTGGGTTCAAGTCCCTTCGCATTTTGGCCTAACACGCCTTTGTATGGATAAGACATTGGGTTAAAGTCTCAATGCAATGATATATAATGATGATTGAGTAAATAGATATGCTCTTGCTAAAAATTGTGAATTTCGTCCCACTGAATATGCTCCATTCATTTAAGTGAATGTGATAGCAATACAATAAAAGTCTGAAAGATGATAAGATTAATTTATGATCAGACATATGCATATGGATGTGAATGGACAAAATAATAATAGTCATCATTATGATAATTGTAAAAGAGAGAACAGTATGAGTTCTCAAAATTGTCCTTCAAAGAGTGAAGGTAATTTTTGTCATCAAATTTGGTATGAAAGGTATTGAGCACGCGATTACTGTACGTGCAAACTAATTTGATTTTATAAATCCTCCATCAAAATAAAAGAATAGAGAAAATGGCCAAAAGCCCCCCCAACCTATAGCCGGATTCCCAACTACACACTTATACTTCACGGGGATCTTATTACCCCCCGGACATTTTTTTTACATATTATCTCACCCTTATTTGCTGACATGTCGAAGAAGGTGAGAACAACTCCCTTAGGCGCGTAAGCAGAGGAAATAAAACGTCAAAAGCTTAAGAAAAGTACACGTGTGAGTCCAAATCAACTATAATTAATCCCCAATGGTATAATCTCTCATTCTCTCCCAAAATCAAACTTTCTTTTTCTTCCTCTTTTTCTCAATTTTCAATTGTATAATCCTTCATTCTCGCCCAAATCAGCTTAAAACTTGAATTTACTTGTCAAAGTATTCAATTGTAGTTTCAATTTCGAAAAAGTTTGAAGCTTTAGGGCATGTAATTTCTCCGACTTCATAGTTAGGGTTCAAAAATTATTCTTCAAATTCATTGTTTTTTGCTTTGTTAGGGTAAATAAAGGCAAATGCGGACTTGAATAAGCTTTCATAGTTAGGGTTCAAAACTTGTTCTTCAAATTCAATTGGAACGAAATCTCATATCATGAAGAGAATGGGGATGAATATGGAGTGATTTAGAAAAGGTTAGGGTTTAGAGAAAGAAAGAGAAAAATGAAAAGATTAAGGGAAATTTTAGAGTTATGGGGTCTATTTAATACTTGGCAGCGCGTGTAAACAAACATTTTATTATATCTGGTTTATGTGGACATGTCAGCAAATAAGGGTGAGATAATATGTAAAAAAAATGTTCAGGGGGGTAATAGGACCCCCGTGAAGTATGAGTGTGTAGTTGGGAATCCGACTATAGGTTGAGGGGGCTTTTGGCCATTTTCTCTAAAAGAATATAAAGTGAAGGTGCACTTGGCCTTTCAAAAGTGATGTCAGGTATGTCATGTGAATATGATAACTTTCAAAGCATGACAATAAACTTCTAATGAAAGGAATAACTATGAATCATGTATATATGATTATAGTCAATTCCTTGAAGAGAATGTGACTTGTGATAAGTATCATGAAAAGTGGACCATTCTTGAAAGTGAATGTGTCAAGAGATGATGAAAATTATAAATAAAGACATGCTCATGTATGATTTAATAAATACCACAACTCACCCCTATGGGAGGTTAGAGAGAAATAAAGAAATTTTATGTTGGTATAAATGGTCATTGGTGAAGTACTTTTAGTATATCACAAATATTGTGGTACATTTTATGATGAACTACCGAAAGGGCAAAAGAAGGAAATAATTTCTTGCCATAAAAATTGTCATTAGTTATGTATCTCTGTGCATCAAAAATATTTTGCCAGATATTAAATAAAAAGGAGGAGATACTAATGACAAAAGTAAATCAAGAAACAAATTTTGATTGTAATGATTTTGACCATGACAATAATGATATAAATTTCTCTTTGAAGGAAATGTCACCACACAAACAATGTTATAAAATATAGTATCCAATGTTAATTATGAGCTTTGATGAGCTAATGTGCTACTACCCAAAGAAATAAAATTGCTTATGATATTGAAATTGTAGTAAGTCTCGAAAGAAACTTTTTAAATTTTAAAGAAATAGTCAAAGAAAAAAAATATTGAGACTATAAAATATGGGAAGAATTAAGATCTTCATATTGCTACATCAAAGTGGGTTATAAATATTTACGTGAAAGATTATCCATATTTGCATATTGTTTGTGGTAACTAAGTATGGGCATGATGATGGAATCACATGCAAAATAAACTAGAAGTTTATTGAAATAAATATCAGTTGGCATGGCCGGTTGATGACCATCCCGATTTAAATATGATACGAAAATTATAGAGAATTCACATGGTTATATATATTGAAGAAATAATAAATTCTTCAAAAATTTTCTTAGTTGTTTGTTCTCATGATAATATTATCATTACACCAGCTAAGGTTGAGATTGTATCTCTTGAAATTTTGAAATATATAAAAAGGTGAATATGGGTCCGTTCACCTGTCATGTGGACCATTTACTATTTTATAGATGCATCTATGTTATGGTCACATGTG